GACCCTCCTCTTGAGTGCAATGGCACGCATCCATGCCAATGCTGACCACCGATCTTGAATGCCAAGCTCATGAAGCAGAACAATTCGAGGTAGTCCGCAGCAAGCCAACAACCGGCGCAAACAAGTGGCCTGCAGCCCGTTGAAAAGTTTGTCAAACTTAGCCACGTGTACTGTGAGCTCAACCCCATAGAGCATGGCCGGCATGAGCCGAGTGTGAAAGGTATGTATCAATGCCTGCATTGGCATACACAAGGTCTTCATGTCAGGCAGAAGTTGGATCATCTTGCCATTGCCACGGGCCAGGATGTGATGAAGATGAGAAGAACCATCAAAGCTGTGATCTATGCTGTAACCCAACTGCACTGTCGAATCAACATATTGCACCATGAAACCTTGGAGTCGAATGGGCTCACGCCAAGCAAACCGAGAGGCTACAATATGATTTTTACCTGGTTTGTACAGGTATTGCTCTTCAGAGGCATTTTCTTCAAGTAGCACAAATGCGGCAACTGCATGCTGATGTGACGAAACTGGAACCCGGGTGTCATCCACGAACGATCAAATGTTTCGACGTACCGGGCTTGAAACATCAATGAGCGCAAAACGTACTGAATCACAAGAAACCCTTTGCATTGCATCATCCCATGTCATGAAGGGTGTTCTTGTCCAGCCCGATCTCATCAGGATTTTTGTCAACCGCAGATCGCATCTCACCCCGCGTTTGCATGAAGGAATCTTCAACAAGTAGTCTGTATGAGAGATCAGCACACAGAGGCACAGAGGAGCGTCTTGTAGGCTGCAGATGTAAGCAGCTGCACCATCAACCACATCGTCTTGAGCAAAGCGAGTGCCATCAGGTAAAGACATGAAATCTGCAAGGCCAGCTTTGCCTTTCCTAAGACATTTGGCCAAGTACACATCAGCCTGTGGATCTTTTGCTTGCGACAATGCCATGTACCGCGCGTTTCTGTTTGCCACCACTTGCTTTTTGCAGGCCTTGACTGCAGACCGGTACTCTTTCCGAGCAAGAGTAAGAGCCTGTTGTGCACATGGGTCCGAAGGACATCGACTAACAAATTTGGAAGCTTGCAACATGGCATTGAAAGCTGCCTTCACCGCAAAGGGGACTTTTGGGGTGCGTAGCTGCGGCTTCACGTTGACCAATCCAGCACAATACCCAATCATGGCTGTAGAAACTTCCCAAAGAATTGCACAAGCATTAGCCAAAACACGGCAATCTGAGAGACGCAAGGTGTGAAGGAAGCCGCACGGATGTAGCAACGCATCAATTTCCATGCACAAGATATGGAAGAAATCGTTGCCGTACAAGTTCATTGCTGCTGACCACGCATCACGGTCTTTTGAAAATTTTGCAACAAAAACATTGTCATGCCTGGTGGGCTGGCCGATGTGGCAAAAGAAAGTCCATGCATGGTGGTCGAAATCATGTGTATCAAAGAATTCATGCAGTCGACCACAAGCAGGATGACTGCATTTAGACGGAGCGTTGCTGCAAGATTCACCATCATGTAAGACTGGACATGCATCATTGTTCGACGCATCTCCCCAGAAATAATCCAGCGTTCGCCCTTTGTTGTGAGTCGGCCGTTCTGTGGAGGACAACCAGGACAACCAGGACAACCCTCTAGCGTTAAGGTGTGATTCAAAAAGTTGTCTGATGTCATCATGCATGTGCAAATCACCACAGCCGAAGAAAGATACCTTCAAATGTGCACGTCCATTTTTGGGACCAAATTGAGCAACTGCAGAATCCTCCCGGAAATATTGGTCCACCACTTGACGCCGTTCTTCCATTCTACCGGAGGTTCGTGGAGGCACATACAAACATGACCAGACCTCTCTTTCGTGAAGATGTACCCAGGCGGTTCTCGCTGAATGAGAAATGTGAGGAAGCCATTGGCACCAGTTTCGCATAACAGGCTTGCAGAACACAACTACTGTGCCATAATCAAGACTAGCATGCCCTGTCACAAGAAATGGATAATCAGGAATGCCGAAAATGCACTTAGAATATTCCCCCATTTCCATGTTGATTTTTCTCTCCCCATGTGGCCTCTGCTCTCGAAGCCTTTGTGCATCTCTATGGGGCGGCAAAAAATGGACTTTTTAGTACACAAAGTAATAAGAAATCGGTCGATTTGGGGACCCTGCTAGTTTTTAATTTTTATCACCAAACACCTTGTGATTTTTTTCCTATCTATTTGTCTGGAAACATGAAATAATTTATATAGAAAAAATCTGGAAAAGTGAAGAATTTGTATGGAACATGTGAAGGATTTTAAAAGAAAAATGGAAAACTGTATGGAAAAATGCTGAATTTGACTGAACAAATGAAAGAATTTATATGGAAAAATGACGAATTCGTCTGGACAAGCGAAAGAATTTATATGGCTCAACGGTATTCTAAGTATAGGTTTTTTGGCCTCAATTGTGTATTAAGATATTCTAAGTATCGTTTTTCAAGTTCAATTCCTGGGATGCCCGGGGAAGCCAAAATTTCAATTCCATATTTTGTGTGGGTGGGGGACCTTATATATATATGTTGTAATGTTTTGGGATGTTCTAAGTGTAGGGGTCCCCACAGCTAATTGATAACTTCTGTGTGCATATAAATATAGCTATGTCAATAGATCATCATGGGATGTTCTAAGTGTGGGGGTCTGCACAGCTAATTGATAACTTTTGTGTACATATAGAGATAGTTATGTCAATGGATCATCATGGGATGTTCTAAATGATCTGTTTTCCGTGTTCTAAGTGTGAGGGTTTCCGGCTGTTCCAAACATAGCTTTAGACATAAAAAGAAAAGCGTTTTCCAAATGATGTTCTAAGTGACTGTCCGGCACTATACCTTAATTCACTCTTGCGAGCTCGAAATGGGGCTCGTCTACGCATGCTCTCGGCTTTTTGCCCGTTCTCCTGGCATGCTGGGTGTTCAAACTCTATTTCTATTGCATCTCTGATCATGCTGTACATGCTTACGGTAACGCTTGTCGAACGTATGGTTTCCCAGGCGGTTGGCGGATTGAAACTGCGATGTAGCGAACCAGACATTGACAAAACGATTTACAATTACATTGTTACCCCAGCCCACCCCATCTCACCCCATTTCACCACTCCTCCGCACCATGCCGGCCATTGTACCATGTGGACGTATATGGTGGTTCGCGTGGGCGTGAATATAAGCATCCTACACCACCCCAACGTCACCCAATTGCACCCGGCTAGACGAAATTTTGAACAGCGCCATCAGCAGAAAACAACAAATCACCCGAAACTGTCACCGGTATGTTGATGTTACGAGCAGCGTGTTCCCAACAACCCCAAATTTTTGCATTGGCGAAAAATTCCCAATTGCGATGTCCACATGTGCCTAAATTTCCCGCAACGGTGATGGCCAACAGGAAACAAACGTTGAATTTGTTTTAGAAGCAGATTCGCAAATATATGCGGTCCAATTCCATTCCTGTGTTGTTTACATGTTCTTGGTCCAAACATGATGAAGCATGTGTGTAATCGTTCTGAGTCAACACATGCAGGGCCGCAAACCACAGGGCCTCCCAATTCAAACCTCGTCGCGGGCCAGCCATGTTACGAAAGTTAGTTTGTGCTAGCTGAAGTTGCTTTTGCTTCAGCAAGGAATAAGCAAGCACCAGGACCGTTGGAAACGCTGAGGCTTCCCAATTTGACCGCCGCCCTGGCCGACAAGGGTTCAATCCCTCCTGTTCCCCCTCGATCCCACTTCGGATTTGATGCCCAGTATCATATCAATGATGCATTTTCAGCGCATCGTCAGCATCTGCATCACCATCATCGGCTGGTTTTGGAATGTTTTGGGCCAGGCACAGGTTTCTACGTCTTTATCTTCGCTTTTTCATTTTCACTTTCTTCCCAAGCATTGTCATCATCATTGTTGCCGTCCTCGTCATCCTTATCGTCGCGATCATGTCATCATCGGCATTGCCATCAAATTCATCTTCCCCACCACTGTCACCAGTTCATCAAATTACTCTTGTAGCTGCGCAGTTTCCGGTACAACATTAGTAAAGTCCTGCTGGCTTTCGTGCCCCCTTTGGCCTCAAGTAGCGAAGCATGCAAGTTAGTCAGATATTTTTGGCGAATAGCTTGGTGAATTTCTCTTCTGGGATCATTGGGAAAAGGCCGTTTTGGGCCAAATCCTGGCCGGGAGGAGGTCACGGGTCAGGGGAGGTCACGGGGGGTCATGTGAGGTTACGGTAGGTTACGGGAGGTTACGGAGGAGGAAAACGGAGGAAAGTGGAGGAACGGCAGGAAAAAGGTTGAAAAAAAACGAAAGAAACTTCGGAGTTCAACGGGGAGCAGCATCCGTTGCGGTTCGGAACAAGATAGTTTTGCAAGGGGATGAGAAGTGATACTGAGGAAGGGGGGGCGAAGGGTTGCAAAGCAAGGAGAAAATCTTCCAAAGGTGCTGCAGATGGTTTGGGCTTCCAATCTAGTTCATATGGGATTGTAAGAGGACGTTTGGGGGCTCGGGGCTGGCTTTCGTCCCCCCTTCTCTTCTTGTTGTTGTTGTTGTGGTTGTTGTTGTTGTTGGTGGTGGTGGTGGTGGTGCTGCTGCTGCTGCTGTTGCTGGCGGGTGCTTCCAATAGCCGCGGGCACATCTGTCAAAACATCAGCAGGGAAAGCGACATGTAGTGAACATGGTTGTCCTCGGTTTGGTCGGCAAAAAAGATCACAAATACCAATCTGAGTGCCCTGTTGTGAAAGGAGGTAGGAACACCACAAGAACGAGGCAGGCGTCGCATGTCAAGCATGTAACTCCTAAAAACAAGTGCGGCACTGGGAAGCAGGGTCGGGCCTCGCAAAACGCTACAGGACTGGAGGGCGGGTAGGAACGCCCCGTCAATTGCGTGATGTAGCCAAATATCGCCCGCGGCAAATGTGTTGCCATTTCATTGTTGGAGCCGAAGCATCTAAAAACGTTCGCTTCATTCTGTCAGGCGCTTGCAGCCACCGCAACACCGAGGGCATTGACTAGATCTGGCAAATGGCAGCCGCCGCAGGACATCACAGGGGTTGGAAGCGAAACGACAGATGCATCACGGTCTCTGACATGAGCTTCATAATTTGGCAGGACTCCAAACTGAAATTGGAAGAGGTGCAAGTTGGGCAGGCGAGATTGATGCGCTTGCTGCAATTTTCTAACGTTCGCCCCGCGTGATGTGTTGTTGTAAGACGGTATTTTCCACCGAGGCCGATGTCACAAATCCCAGTAGTTTGGCCGCGGCTTTGGCTGGCGTGTCTGCCGTCGTGTTTGCGGCCTCCCCCTCAGCTTGCTGTCAACAATTTTTTAAGTTTTGAGTCATGGAACTGCTGCGGGTTTCAATCCCTAGAAGCAGGGGGTGGTATCGCGTTCCTCCTTCCTTTGGCATGTATGCGCAAGGTTCCGGGAACCTTGGTCTCGCAGTGTCTCCACTGTGTGTCGCATTGTGTCCCCCCACTTGTCTGCTGCTTTGTCCCCCACCTTGTCTCCCAGCTTGTCTTCCACTGTGTGGTGCGCTGTGTCTCCCACCTGGAACCTTGGACTGCTTGTCTCCCACTGCGTGTCGGTGTCTCCAACTGTGTCTCCCAGCTTGTCTCCACTGTGCCTTCCACCCGGAAATTTGGAACCTTCCCTGGGGCGTTTCTTTCCCACCTGGTCTCTTGCTTGTCTCTCATCTTGTCTCCTGCTTGTCTCCCATCTTGTCTCCCATCTTGTCTCCCACTGTGTGCCGTAGGTGTTTCCCATCTGGAACCTTGTTTGCCGCTTCGTCTCGCGCTGTGCTTCCCATTGTGTGTGTGGGCGCGCTGTGTCTCTTGGAACCTTGTCTGCCGCTCTGTCTTTCACCTTGCCCCCACTTGTCTGGCAGCTTGTCTTTCCACTGTGTGTCGCGCTGTGTCCTTGGAACATTGTCTGACGCTTTGTCTCCCACCTTGTTTCCCAGCTTGCTTTCCCTGGGAACCTTGTGTGGCGCTTTGTCTATGAGTTTGCGATTTGCCACACCTCAGAACCTTGTCCGCCACTGTGTTACCCACGTGGAACTTTGAGAACCTGGCCTCCCTTTGTTTCCCACCTCAGCCTCCTGCATTCTGCTTGTCTCCCTGCTTGTCTCCCAGCTTGTCTCCCATCTGGAACCTTGAAACCTTGTTCCACTCTTTCCCCCCCTGTCTCCCACTTCTGTCCCAGCTGTCTCCCAGTTGTCCCCCACTGTCTTTCCCATTGTGCCTTCCAGTGGAACCCCGGCTCTCTCCCACTTGTCTCCCACTGTATCTCCCATTGCGTCTTCCACTAGAACCTTGGGATCTTGTCTCCCCACTTTTGTTCCGCTTGTCTCTCATTTGTCTTCCAAATTGTCTCCCATGGTTTTTCTAGTGGCTAGTGTCCCACCTTTGCCTATATTATCTCACTGTTGTTGCTCCATTGTCTCCCAATCGGTCTCACTCCTGTCCCCCTTGTGTCTCCCAGCTTGTCTCCTGCTTTTGTGTCTTCATTTATTCCGCTATGTCATTCACTGTGTCTCTCAGTCTGTCTCCTGCGTTTGTGTTTCCATTATTCCGCTATGTCATTCACTGTGTCTCTCAGTCTGTCCCCTGCTTTGTGTCCCACTTTCTTTCCACCTTTATCTCGAACTCTGTCTCTCACTATGTCTCCCAGCTTGTCTCCCACTTTATTCCCCCGCTCGTCTCCCACTTTGTCTCCCACTGTGTCTCCAGCTTTTCCCCTCTTTGTCTATTGTCTGCCAATTGTGTCTCAATTGTCGCCCGCTTTGTCTCCCACTTGTTCAATCTTTGTCTCCTGCATTGTCTCCCACTTTGTCCCCCGCTCTGTCTCTCACTTTGTCTCCCGCTTTTGTGTCTTCCACTATTACATTGTGTCACACGCTCATTTTGTCTTCCACTTTGTTTCCCAGCTTGTCTCCCGCTTTGTCTCCCGCTCTGTGTCCCACTTTGTTTCCGCTTTCTTTCCCACTTTCTTTCCCAGCTTGTTTCCCCGCTTTTGTGTCTTTCACTATTTCACCCACGTTGTCTCCCATTTGTTTTCTTACTTTGTCTCCCACTTTGTTTCCGCTTTGTTTGACGCTTTGTCTCTGACTATGTCTCCTGTCTCCGAGCTTGTCTCCCGCTTTGCTTCCCAGAAGCTTATCTCCCACTTTGTCTCCCACTTTGTCCCCCCTCACTTTGTCTCCCACTGTGTCTCCGACTTTGCCTCTCCTTTTTTGTTGTCTCCCAATTGTGTCTCACTTGTCCCCCACTTTGTTTCCCACTTGTTTGTTTCTCACTTTATCTCCCAGTTTGTTTCTGCTTTGTTTGACACTTTGTCTCTGACTATGTCTCTCAGCTTGTCTCCTGCTTTGTCTCCCGTCTTGTCTGCTGCTTGCTTTCCCACTTTGCCGCCCAATTCTTTCCAATGGTGTCCCCCAATTTGTTTCCCAGCTTGTCTTCCATTTTGTCTCCGCTTTGTTTGGCAGCTTGTCCGCGCTGTCTCCCACTCTGTATCCCCTTTTGTTCTCCACTTGGTCCCTGCTTTGGTTTCACCCTTGTCTCCCACTTTGTTTCAAACTTTATCTCCCGCTTTGTCCCTCAATTGGTGTTTCACTTTGTTTCAAGCTTTGTGTCCCAGTTTGTCTCCCACTTTGTCTCCCACTGTGCGCCCGCTTGTTTCCCAGATTGTTTCAAACTTTGTCTCCGGCTGTGCCTTATATACCACCGTCACCGCTGTCGGGCAGCAAGGCTGGGTTAATTGGCTTTCCAAGGCTGCCTACTCGCGGGGAAAGACGCAACCCGAAGATGTGGACAATGACGCTTGGAGTAGCAAGAATTGTTGGAAACATTTAGAACCGCAACGGCCAAGTCGTTAACATTCTTGACCCGAGGCTGGCCTTGTGAACTGTGCCAAGGTTGGGAAAACAGACGTGTTGTCAACCCGTGAGGGTCCTAGCTCGGTGCATCCCAGCGCAGGTCGTTCTGGAAAAGGACATCGGGCGCCTCATTGCGGTTAGCAGCGCTTCTGTCACCCGACCGTATGCTCCAGTTGGCATTTTGTTGAACACGACGCTTGGCAAATTTTTGAACCTGAGGGCATGCCGGGCGGCTTGTGTACCAACTAGCAAAGTCGAACCTATTTAGCTTTGAAGTGGGTCGTTTGTTGAGGCGCCTTTTTTTCTGTGTTCGCTATCGAATCTTATTCTTATTAGTTTTCCTTGGAAAAGGGGTCGCGGTAGTAGTTGCAGGAGCAGGTGTATATAGCTCCATAGTAAGCATCAGCTGGGTACAGAACAAGCACGAAGGGAAGGAATAGTAGTAACAGGAGGAGTAGGAGTTCGGAGTAGGAGTAGCGGTAGGGGTGGGTGGGAGTGGGACAGGTGGGAGTAGGAGAAGGACGCGGAGGAGGAATGGAGGAATAGGAGGCGGGGGAGGGGTTAGTAGTAGTAGTAGTAGTCGTCGTCGTCGTCGTAGTAGTAGTAGTAGTAGCAGTAGCAGTAGTAGTACTAGTACTAGGTAGTACTAGTACTAGGTACTAGTAGTAGTAGTAGTAGTAGTAGTAGTAGTAGTAGTACTAGTAGTAGTAGTAGTAGTAGTAGTAGTCGTAGTAGTAGTCGTAGTAGTAGTCGTAGTCGTAGTCGTAGTAGTTGTAGTAGCAGTAGTAGTAGTAGTAGCAGCAGCAGGAGGAGTAGTAGTAGTAGTAGTAGTAGTATTAGTAATGGTAGTACCAGTATTCCCAGTAGTACCAGTAGTACCGCACAAAGGGGTGGCTGAAGTTTCAACAATAGGAAACCTATAGGAGAGATTGGTTGTTGTGAATCACGGATGGCAGAGCGAACCCACTGATGGACCGAAAGGTGGTTGGAGCTGTGTTTGTTGGAGTGGCTGCAATGGTTGCAGTGGTCACTTGGTCGGTCACCTCACCCACAACTGCTGGATGTAGTGTGGTGTAGTGCAGCTGTAATTGTAGTTGTAGTGTAGTGGAGTTGTAGTTGTGGTGTAGTGTAATTAGTGTAGTGTAGTTGCAGTTGCATTTGAGGTGGTGTAATGAGTGTAGTGTAATGTAATGTAATGCAATGCAATGTGGGGTAGGGTAGTGTGTGTAGTGTAATTGAGTGTAGTGTGGTGTGGTGTGGTATGGTGTAGTGTGGTGTAGTGTAGTGTAGGGTAATGCAATTAGTGTTGTGTAGTGTAGTGTAGCGTAGCGTAGTGGGTGTAGTGTGTAGTCTGTTGTGTGGTGTAGTGAAGTGTGGTGTAATGCAACTAGTGTACTGTAGTTGTAGTTGTAATTGTAGTTGTAGTGGTAGCTGTAGTGTAGCGTAGTGTTATGTAATGTATTGTAGTTGTAGTTGTGGTTGTAGTTGTAGCTGTGGTTGTAGTTGTAGTTGTAGTTGTAGTTGTAATTAGCGTAGTGTAGTGTAGTGTCGCGTGGTGTGGTGTAGTGTAGTGTAGTGTAATTGAGTGTAGCGTCCTGTAGTGTAGTGGAGTGTAGTGTAGTGAGGTGTAGTGTAGTGTAGTGGAGTGGAGTGGGGTGTAGTGTAGTGTAGTGCAGCGTAGTGTAATGTAATTAGTGTAATGTAGTGTAGCCTTATGTAGTTGTAGTTGTAGTTAGTGTGATGTAGTGTAATGTAGTGTAGTGTAGTGTAATGTCATTAGTGTAGCGTAATGTAATGTAGTGTAGTTGCAGTTGGAGTTGCAGTTGCAGTTGTAGTTGTAGTTGCAGGTGTAGTGTAGTGGAGTGTAGTGTAGTGTACTGTAATTAGTGTAGTGTAGTGTAGCGTAGTGTAAACATAGTATTGTTGTAGCTGTAGTTGTAGTTGTTGTTGTAGTTGTAGTTAGTGTAGTGTAGTGGAATGTAGTGTAGTGTAGTGTAATGTAGTGTAGTGTAGTGTAATTGAGTGTAGTGTAGTGTAGTGCAATGTAGTGTAGTGTAGTGTAATTGAGTGTAGTGGAGTGTAGTGGAGTGTAGTGTAGTGTAATGTAGTGAAGTGTAGTGTAATTTAGTGTGGTGGAGTGTAGTGTAGTGTAGTGTAATGTAGTGAAGTGTAGTGTAATTTAGTGTGGTGGAATGTAGTGTAGTGTAGAGTAGTGTTTTGTAGTGCAATGTCGTGTAGCGTAGTGTATTTGAGCGTAGTGGAGTGTAGTGGAATGTAGTGTAGTGTAGTGTAATGTAGTGTAGTGTTGTGTGACTGAGTGTAGCTGTAGTTGTAGTTAGTGTAGTGTAGTGGAATGTGGTGTAGTGTAGTGTAGTATAATGTAGTAGTGTAGTGTAATTGAGTGTTGTGTAGTGGAGTGTAGGGGAATGTAGCGTAGTGTAGTGTAATGTAGTGTAGTGTAGTGTAA